GCCCCTCTCAAGCTCTTGAGCGGAAAAAAAAAAAAAAAAAAACACAGCGCAGAGCTGGACCGGTCGAGAAGCCGCCTCAGGCTGGATCGCCTGGTGGCTCTGAGCCCCGGCCGGCTGGCCGGTTGTAAGCCGACCCTGCCAGGAGGCAGGCCGCGCCTCCTGGCCCGCTAGTCCTCGGTGTCCGGGGTCTCGTTTACTGTCCTCTCTCTTCTTGTTTGTTCGGAGAGCCCATCCCTTCTCTAGAATCCGCTTTCTCAGTCTGCACCCCTTGGCCTGTCAAAGTGTCTGCCCCCTCGGTCTCACTGGGCACTTAGTACCCGCCATCACCTCCACTCCCTTCTCGATCTGCCTCTCCCCTACTTCCCGGAGGCCTCTCTGCGTCCTGGCGCTTACAACTCCACTTTTTCTCCCGCTTCTACGTGCTCCTGCTCCCGAGGGCTGTCAGTCCAGCTTTGGCTGTATGCTTGTGCATCTGACTTGTGCTTTGGCGCGTGGGGACTGCCTGCAAGTGGGCTCCCGTGTGCGTGCCTGCGTGTGTGTAAATTTCCGCATCCATCGTCAGGTCGAGACCGGAAAAAAGAAAGCTCTTGACACTCCTGGGGCAGAGAGAGGACCTGGCCGCACGGGGCCCTGTTCGGTGCGCCCGGCAGGCTTGGTGCACGCCGAGCAGAGCAGCGCTTACCTGGCAGCTCGGTGTCGGACGACTCGCTGGCCGAGTTTTCCAGTGGCTCCCGGGGGTCGGGGGCGCGGGCCAGGTGGAAGGAGGGCCCCATGTCATGCGGCGGCGGTGGTGGTGGCCGCAGCCCCTCGGGCAGTCTCTCCAGGCTCATGCCTCCCTTGAAGGCATCCATGGAGGTGGGGACCGCAGCCGGCGCTCCGGGGGCCGCGGCTGGGAGCGCCCGGCCGCCCTGGTTGCGACCTGTGGGGACAAGAGCGCTGCGCCTAAGCGGCTGCCCCCGAGGGCTGCCCGCGCCCGCGGTCACGCCGCTCCGTCTCCATGGACCGCCTGGGGCTGCGGGCCCCCGCGTGGGGCTCGGCGCTCCGCAGCGCGCTCCGCCGCTTGGGCCTCAGCCGCCCGCCCGGCCGG